TTTTTTCCCCCAAAGCCCCAGTAGATAGTTGTATGTCATAGTTGCACATTCTTCTAGTTGCTGTATGTGGGACGCGGCCTCAGCATGGCCAGAGAAGCAGTGCGTTGGTGCGCGCCGGGATCCGAACCCGGGCCGCCAGCATCGGAGCACACGCACTTAACTGCTAAGCCACGGGGCCGGCCCATGGTCTGGCAATTTAAAAGGATGATTCTACTTAAAAGGATATGCTTGTAGGGTAACAGAATAATTCCTCTTCTTTTGAAACATTCTTGTAGACATTTAAAACTGATAATTCTGTCTGAAAGTCATAGGCTTAAACTTTTATATCATCATTAATAAAAAATGTTTGTTTACATTTATTCTGCTGGTCTTGGTATGTGCTATGCTAGATAATTTAGACAATAGTCCTGACACTCAGTCTAATAACACTAATTTAGAGAATTTTGAAGAGTGTATGAAATACCTTAACATAACTGAATTGTATATCTGTGTTTATTTTAGAGCTAACCGTATTTTAGAGGTGATGGGGAAGCATTGTAGTTTTTTAAAATTGTTTTGAAATGTTATTGCTCATTATATAAAACAAAACCCATATTTATTTCCAGAAAATTCTTCTTGTTCTTTTTTTAGTAAAAGTATAATTGCAACACTTTACCAGAAATAATACAATTATGAGCGCTTGGAATATATTCACAATGTGCCAGAATATCTTGGCCAGTTTCGTGATACAGTTTTTACCACATGATTCAATAATTTGCCAACTCAGATATTTTTAGTTTAAAAAGAAACAAAATGTAAACATGATTGTTTCTGTTGCCTTGTGAGGGGCATTAAGCCACATTTTCCATACCATAGTGGACTATTTACTAGGAATGCAAATTCTTGAGTTTTTTTTCTGTACTTTTTTTTTTTTTCCTTAGAGGAGGTATCATTCTTTTACAATGCCCTATGTAAGGTATTTCTGAAGAATAAAATATATTGAGAATTATGTTGCTTATCCACATTTGCCTTTTAGGTGATTACTACAGAAATATAATTTTTTTTTTTTTTGAGGAAGGTTGGCCTTGCGCTAACATCTGTTGCCAGTTTTCCTCTTTTTCTTTTTTTTTTTCTCCTCAAGCCCCAGTACATAGCTGTATATCATAGTTGTAGAGTAATAGCTCTTCTATGTGGGACGCCGCCTCAGCATGGCTTGATGAGCGGTGAGTAGGTCTGCGCCCAGGATCTGAACTGGCAAACCCCAGGCCACCAAAGTGGAAGGCACGACCTTAGCCGCTATGCCACCAGGCTGGCCCCAAGAATATAATTTTTAGACTTATATTTTTACTTATTTCTCCCAGACTTTTTACACATCCAGAATTTTGCTAATGTGCATATTATAGCCATGTTTTCTCTGTAATGTGCATTTTAATTTTATTTTTTATGTAAGACTCCAGTGAACATTGATATTATCCTGAGTAAATATACTTATTTTTTGTTGTTGTTCTCTTTTTTGTAAGAAAAATACTGTTATAGGTAATTTAGAAATAACTCTGGTCCTGCCTTTAGAGATGAATTTAAACGTTATTATATATGTTGTATTAAACTGATGTGAGTATTATTGGACATTTCCAGACATGGTAACATTTACTAGGCGTGCAGTGGTGAAACAAATGAATGGGTTTGATTTAGTAATGCCTTCTCCCCTACCATGATTAACAATGACTTGAACATACTTATTCCACTTCCTCAAAACTTGGCCTCTCAATTCCTTGATTTTAAGCATTCCGTTCATGATCTGCAATCTGTTCCATTCATTTCCTTTGACCTCATGGAGACCTCTAATCTGCTGATCTCACCATTATTTCTATCAATCATCACTCCCTTTTATATTAACTTTTCTACTACTCAACTTAGATTTCATGATCCATCATTATAGTCACTCTCTTGCAATTCTCCAATCCCTTGCCCTTTTCTTCTGTTATACTCAACTTGCAAAACCCAACACCAATTAAACTCAGCTGTTCAACCTCTGTAACCTGCTCTGAGCAGCAGAATGTTTCTAGAGCAAACCAGAGACTCTATTGATTGATTTCACTTTAAATTAATTATCATAATCCTCAAGCAGGCTCTCAAAACTACCCAGCAATGCTCCTAGGAGGCTCACTCACACACATACACACACACACGCACACCACTGACAGATATAAGTACACACTTGTATGTATATGTATGTATATGAAACGAAGAAATCAAGGAAAAGGAAAGGTCAGAGAAACTACTATTTTTTTGCATGTAGAACTGGGTGTCTTGCAGGGAGCACAGGAGGCAAATTGGGTTGAGGCGAGATGATGAATTCAGTTTTGTATATGTTGCAGAGTAACTTTGTGGCATATTAGAGGAGATTTCAAATAGGCACAGAAAAGTTTTGGATGAAAAATGTCAATTTAGGAAATGCTGGTGAATCTAGGAAGAGACCATCTAATGGTGAAAGAACAGGGTAGAACTGAGCCTAGCCAAACTGTGACATCTAACGGCAATGAGGAGTAGATGGGCCAGCAAAGGTGAGGCCAGGAAGTGAAGAAATATCCAGAATCGTGTGCTGTCAGGGAACAGGTGGCTTTAGAAAGGAGAGAGGGGTCATCAGTATGGAATGTTGTGGAGATCTGACACATGATAATAAAGCTCTAAGACTGAATTATTATATTATTGACATTTAATAGGCAGTGAGGTCATTGGTGCCCTGAGGTGAAGAGTAGTTTCGATGAGGTGCGGAAGCCAAATCAGAATGCATAAGAGGAGATGGAGGTGAGGGAATGGAGACACATGCAGGATATTTTCTCAAGAAATGATGCCGTGAAGGGGAAGCTTGAGAGAAGGTAGGAGAGTATGTAGAAAGGGAAGGAGTTGACATGAGATTTTAGTTTGTTTGTTTCCTGTTTTTACTCCCGGAGGGATTGAGCAATGAAATACAGATGTAGCTTAATTGCTAACATTAACTCATCTGAAGAAAGAGAGGCGATCTGTAGCCTGGAAAAAAGGATATTTGAAACTAAGAGTCTGGCAACATTTTTCCTGCAGTAAGAGAGAGACAGACAGACAGACCAACAGACAGAAAGATACTGAAGTTACAGGGAATTCTCGTTTATTGTGCATTTCCTGGATGAAAGAAATGCCTGTTGGGATCAGATTGCTCCTGAGTTTTTGGCTTCTCTAACTACTAGTTGACTAGTAATTGACTACTAACTACTTCTTTAACTACTTAGACTCCAGCATCTCCTGTGTAAGGTTTACTTATTAATTTTTACATGTTTAGTTTTAGTCAGGTTTTTAGAAGCTCTTTTTTGCTGCATTGATATGACGGAGCTTCCAGACCTTTCAAAAACTAAGCTATGGACTGTGGAACAAGATGCCAGCATTTAGATATTACTGGTTCGAATTGGTATAACACTTTACTTCATCAGTTAGTAAGAGGAATAAAAATAGTGATTACCATTTGTCCAGCCCTTACCTGTGCTGCACATATTTCTAATCCTTTCCACAACTTTGCAAGAAAGCTGTTGTTATCATTATTTTACAGGTGAAAGAACTGAGGCTCGGATAATTGTTTTTGCTTAAATTTTACTATAGAAATATTTAAGCATACATAAGAATCAAGAAAATAGTGTAAAGAGACCCCGTGGAACTCAGGTTCAAGAATTGCTGATATTTGGCAGTCTTGCTTCATCTCTGCTCTCTTTCTTCCACATCCCCACCACATTTTTCTTCCCACAGCTCAGAGAAGTTAAATGCCTTGCCCAAGGCTACACAACTGGCACACTTTTCAAGTCTCTCCTGTGAGTTAAGCACTAGGTGAGTCATTGGGAGTACAGACACAAAGAAGATCTGGTCCCCTTCCACACCACCACCAAGTATTTGATAGGCTTCATTCTATAAGAATTGATTCAATTAATCATTACAACAATCCCATGAGGTTACTATTATGTTCATGTTACAGATGTGGGAACCGAGTTACACAGAGGACAAGTGACTTGCCCAAGAGTGATGAAGCTGGATTCTAACCCAGAGGCTCTGGGTCCAGAACTGGTACAGTCTGGTGGGGAGAGCAATTTGTAAATAATTTGGAATGATTAGTGATGTCATAAAAGGATATAGTCTAACTGGCTAGCCGCATCCCTCTGTAACCTTTTGGTCTCCATCTCTAGATGTAACATCCCACAAGGAGAGCAAACATTTGTGTGACAGCACCAACATCATCTAGAATAGTGGCCTATCTGGCTCTCTCTCTCCTGTAGTCTGTGCGGCCAAGTCAAAATGAAAGTAGAATTCGGAAGTTAAGGACAGACTCTAGCCTGCTTGTGTTTAAGACGCTTATAACTGAATGATGTGTAGGATTGAACACGTTAGTACAAGTTGGCAGGGTCAGCCTCTGAAAAGCCTTTCAGGGGAATAAAACTGGAGGCTTTTTAACTGCCGGCTAGACGTTGTTTCAGCCGCGCTGAATTCTAACGAGCTTGGCTGTCTCTGGAGCGCGTCCACTGGATCATCATGCTACTTTAAATTACGTAATATCTCAGTCATTAATAAGCATTGTTCTTTTATCTGGAGTAAAGAAGAGCAGAAGAAGATGTTCCTCTTGATTTATTTTTTTTAGTTCACCACGGATATTCAGATATTATGTGACGTACACTCAGATGAATTGCTTATGTGATTAGCAGTGGTTTCCGTGCCTGCTCTGGGACTAAAATGGCAGCCTTGTTACCCTGTAATTCAAAGGTAAATGGATAGGGATGCAAACGTATAGTCTCGGTGCTGGTAGGAAGAGGGAAAGGAGAAAAGGAAGGAGGGGAAATGAAATGAGTAGGTGGCAGAATACAATTTTTCTCCTTTGTTAGAATTGTGATATTCTGAATCAGACATTGGGTATATGGAAATTATCACTTAGAGATGAAATTCTTCTTAGAGGGGTCAGTTGGTGTCAGAATTTGTACCTCTTGATTTGAGGTCCAGAATTGTGCAATTGCACCATTTTATTTTGCCTTCAAACTCCTTTCTTAGAAATTCAAGCAAGCCTTCTACTCATGCCCAAGTACCAAATGGCAGTTCCCTCGGTTGATGCTGAGTGTACCTGTGGGAAGTTAGGTTGCTTTTGACTGATGAATTGTTTTGAAGAAATGTTATACTCTAAATTACTTCCAAGTTTATTTTGTAGAACGCTATGGAAGGTTCTATTTTCTAGATGCTTGGCAAACTGCTGGATATCTAGCATTCAGCAAACGAACACTTTTAGTTATTCATCAAAACAGTCTCATACTCCCACTCACCTTGCAAATTCTCATTGAGCTTTTGATTGAAATGAACTGTAACTCTCACCGAGCTCACTTTCCTCTTAAAAAAAGAGAAGAAAGGAAAGAAGGCCCTGTCACAATGATTCATTTGAGGCAACCGCCCATATCCCAGTTCATCTAAAGTTCATTAAGTTCCAATTCCCCCAAATGCCAAGTTCCAATAACATTGTAATCCAAGAAGTCAAGGAAATAATTTATCCCAAGAGTTTATGTACTTGTAAATGCCTTGCTAGGCTTGTGATGTATGCGGTTGTGTCCAGCTCATTAGTGTATTTGACAAGTTTAT